GATTTGAGGCCTTCAAACTGTCCTCTTCATCCTGATGCCTCATGGGCATTCACACACAAGATGGAGATGCACATGGGATGGAAATGCATATATGATGGGAGATGCATGGGGTGAGGTGGGGGAGCTCCTGCTACCACTCTGGCCTTTTCCAGGTAGAGGTGTCCCCCTTTGTACTGAGAGTATGTATTAAGTGTGGTTTTAACATCCTGCCTGAGCCAGAGTAGAAAAACGTTCAAGTTGAACAAAAATCACAACCTAGGGGATTTCAAACTTTTAAAAATTCTATCCACTGCAGGCCCAGGGTCCAGGGTTCGATTCTGGTCAAGAGCATATGTCCAGGTTGTGGGCTCAGTCCCCAGTGAGGGGCGTGCAGGAGGCAGCCAATCAATGATTCCCTCTCATCATTGATGTTTCTATCTCTCTCTTCCTTTCCCTTTCTTAGGATAAACTAAGAGCGGCAGTTTATCCTACTGAAATCAATAAAAATATTTTTTAAAAATTCTATCCAAATAAATCCTTTACTTTAAAAAATAAAATTGTATGCAGATCTTCAATACATTAAAAGATAAAAATGGCAGTGCTGAGATTTAAGGGGGAGGAGAGAAGTACTCTTTGGTAGGTTACCTCTCATTGTCCATGACCCCCCAAAAGAGTGAGGCTCACTCTTCATTCATTGTACAGACTTGGAGCTGGGACCCTGCCCAAGATAATCCTGATCTCAGGGGAACAGCCAAGATGCTCACCACATGATGCCTCCAGGATGTCTGGGAGGAAAGCTGCCCTAGGAGTAGGTGGTACCTCCCTCTCTGCTCTGAACGGCAGACCCACATGAGGATTCAATGTTCCCAGTGTGTTATTCTTTCCCCTCAATAGAAGAAAGAAACACTACAAAGCAAATCTGATAGGACTTTAACATCTATCTCAAATCTCAGCCTTTGTACGTGGGCACAAGACTGGAAAAGTTGTATGTTAATCAAATAAGTAAAGTTGAGACTTGACTGCAATTCTTGATTCCTTAATATTCAGATTTCCATGTGCTGGGTCTTCCCAAGGTAGGGAATACAATTTCCTTACCTGTTCCGAAAGACGGAGGAGTGATGGATTCTGGGCTGTCATCTTCAGGCTCTGAGACGGTGACAGTAGGGACTGTGTCAGGACTCGGTTTCAGACAGATATCTTGCTTCTCGGGGGTCTTCTCTTGGGTAGCAGTTTCCACAGAAGGCTCAATTTCAGTCAGCGTGATTTTGATGGGGGCAGCGACCAGGGAGGCTCTATGGTGCTCTTCAGAGAGATCATCTATATATGGGGCAAATGTTGATTCTTCAAATAAATGGTCCTTGAGGATTTTTCCCTCCACAGGAGCTGCTTTCTCTGGTTCACGGGCCTTTTCAGATTTTATTGAGATTTCAGTGTCCTTATTCTTAAAGTCAAAGTCTTTTTCTTCCAACTTGGGGTGATGTTGCTCCTGAGAGCTCACCTCCTCGGGCCTGGTTATGTCAATGTACTTGTAAGCTTCTGCTTTCATCTGGTCCAGGGGGTCTGCTAAGATCTTGTTCACTTCGGTGGACTCTGCAGGAGTCATCTCTATTCCAGAATCAGAACTAAATAAGCCGCGAGGTTCCGTCCCAGGCACGTCTGGTAAGGAGGGCCCAGAGGTACTCAGCTCCTCAGGGCTCTCTGATGTGGTGATGTGGCCATTTTCTTTCTGAAGAATTCCAGTGAAATATGTGGAATCCTCCTGAGGTGGGTAACAGATGTCGGAAATCAGAGATGTGTAGCACGCTCCTTCCCCGTCCTTCGATGCTGTTGAAAAGGGATGATCCATGGCACGGGAGACATCTGCCACACCTAGGAACCCAAACAGCAGCAGACGTGAGTGGGCACTGGGCTGCAATCTTCTCTCCCACCTAACCCACCACCCACCCCTGCCCTGTGGAGACACAGCATCCTGTCTCCTCCACACCTCGGGGGTCCCTCTCAGCACCAGCATGTTCATTTCTCTCGTCTCCCTGATAGCCCAGCACCGGTGTGTCTCCTGCAGCTGACTACAGAGGCTCACGCAGCTGCCATGGCCAGAGAAGTTGGGGACAGATCCCAGAGGACCAGAAAGTTGCTTTTCAACATCAACTACCTCAATACACAGTGACTTGGTCTTAGTATTATTCAACAGAAGCCCTCTTTGTATCTAAGGCATTTATGGCTCTTTAAGCTGAGGTGGAAATGTAGGCTAATTCAGGTCTGAAAGTGCAACAATGGGATAGTCGACTGGGGAGAGGGGCTGCTGTTGGACTCAGAGCTGGAAGAGGCCCCAGGAGACCCTCTCGTTCACCCCTTTCCTTTAGGGACTCCTGCCTCACCTGTTTGGGTGTCATCCCTTCTCTTTTTAAAGGTCCTCAGGGGAAGGGACTCCTAGTTTTCCGATGGGCTCATCCCAAAGTGGTATCACCTTAATGGTGCTCTTCCTTATTTCTTCAGTTTTCTCGTTTTGTTTCACTCTCATTCACTCATCTACTGCCCATTCTTCGCCTTCCAGTGATACTCACAACGGCCCCCCCCCCGCCCCCCAGGGATTTCTTAGTTCCACTGGTGGTGCTAAGGACAAAACAGATTTCCAAGTTGGAGTCTATAGAATGTTTTCACCTGCCCTTCATTCTACTCATAAACCAGCCAAAAGTTCATTAATAGGCAGAAGAGGAAAACCCTCTATTAATTTTCTTGTCTGTGAAATGTGATAAGAAAACTAATAATGTTTATTGAGGTGTTGCTAAATGCTAAGCAGTTGGATTTTACCTAATTCTTACAACTATTTTATAAATTAAGCCCCACACTCTCAACATAAAAGCACATCACACACACACACACACACACAGCTCTCAAAACACACACAAAGAATATTCCAGATTAGGGCACCAACTCATAAAAGTAATAAAAGTAGTAGCTGTAATAAAATAGTAATAGCTAATATTTGAGTGTTTGCTGTGTGCCAGACATAATTCCAAGCTTTTTATTAATATTGACTCATTTAATAATCATAGTAATCTTAGGAGATTGGTACTATTAGCTTCATTTCACAGACGAGGAAACTGAAGAACAGAGAGGCTACGTACCTCACCTAAGATCGCACACGTAGAAAGCAACACAGCCAGGATTCAAACCCCAGGAGTCTAGAAGTCAGAAAACTTCCCCTCATGCCCTGTGCACCTTCTTAAAATCAGTTTATGACATTTATTTTTCCCCAGTAATTTTGAATCTAGTACTAGCATTATCACAACTAAACTTAACTTTTGCGTTTTCCTAGCTGTTTTCTTGGTTATATGAGTCATTGTTTGTCTAAGGCAGTGGTTCTCAACCTTCCTAATGCTGCGATCCTTTAATACAGTTCCTCATGTTGTGGTGACCCCCAACCATAAAATTATTTTCGTTGCTACTTCATAACTGTAATTTTGCTACTGTTAGGAATCGTAATGTAAATACCTGATATGCAGAATGTATTTTCATTGTTATAAATTGAACATAATTAAAGCATAGTGATTAATCACAAAAACAATATGTAATTATATATGTGTTTTCTGATGGTCTTAGGCGACCCCTGTGAAAGGGTCGTTCAACCCCCAAAGAGGTCACGACCCACAGGTTGAGAACCGCTGGTCTAAGGGGAATGAAAAAAGCACAAAGCCTCTTCTCCATTCTAGCACTTTCCTGCCTCGGCACCTTGGCACTTGCTGATTTCTTTGCATGGACCTCTCTCCCCCCAGATACCGGTATACCTAACCCCCTCATGCTGATCTTTGTCCAAGTCACCTTCATAAGGGAGATGACAATGTCCACTACCTAAAACCTGTCCTGTCTTCTCCACTCCGTGGCAACCCTGTTCCCTCCTACCCTTCTTTACTTTTTCTTCCTGTATCATTTGTCTCCTCCTAATATATTATATAACTAACTTATTTACCTATTACTTATGCATTGATTGTCTCTCACGACTAGGCATGCTCCATGAGGGCAGGAATCTTTGACTGTTCTGTTTCACAGAATAGTTCAACACCTACACACACTAGGTACTCAATAAATATTTGTGAAATTTAAAAAGTGTGAATTTTAGAATGAAGCGCAAGTAACAGGATTGTGTGAGAAGACAGGTTGGCAGATTCACCCAAATCCTAAGGACACTCACTTCACTCAGCAAGTGGCTTAATCTCATAACCAGTTCAAAAGTGTACATTTCAGGGAAGCTTCTAATTGTACTTCCTTTGCACATGGCAGCCCCTTTTCAGTTTGGACCAAAAATAGCTCAATAGCAAAAGAAATAATATTAATGATGAGCCTTATTGGCTACCATATATAGACCACCAATGAAAAAGCTAATAAATTTAAATTCATGTGTGCACACACATCTTTCCTAAAGAATTTTAAAAGCTTCTTTCATTATATGGGCTCAGCCCACATGTAGACCTCACTAGAGACAGGGAAATCAATCTTGAGATATTTCTTTTTTAAAAAATATATTTTTATTGATTTAGAGAGGGAGAGGGAGAGAGAGATAGAAACATCAATGATGATAGAGAATCATTGATTGGCTGCCTCCTGCACATCCCCCACTGGGGATCAAGCCCACAACCCCAGCATGTGCCCTTGACCGGAATCAAACCTGGGACCCTTTGGTCTGCAGGCTGACACTCTATCCACTGAGCAAAACTAGCTAGGGCAATCCTGAGATATTTCATTACAGACATTTGGATCCTGGGATTCTCTACCCCAATTATCTGGAACCACTTCCACAGGTTAATAAGTAATTTTGCACCAGGAAGTAAGGAGGGTTTGCCCATGGATATACATTGTCTGGAGGTGAGGGGTGGGGAAGGGGATGCTTTCCTGATAAATGCACAGTAGGTGGTATCCAGGGCTGCTCACAATCATTATCATTCACCTCTCACTCCATACTTCTATTGCAGAGGCCACCACCAGGCTCCTGGCCCTTATCACCTATACCTGGCATAGTGCTTAGCCCTCCAGCCCAACGTCTTCTGACACTAGTTATCACACTAAACACAACTCAGCGACTGGCCCCAGGGTTCTGCCTTGCTTCACCAGATAATTTGTAAACTCTGCAGCCTGGCATTGGAGATGATGTGCATGCCATCAGGTCTCACAACTTTGTCTCCGCTGGTCTTCACAATCTCACACTCCACCAGCTTTTCAAATCCTGTCTTTCACTCTCCAATTCAAACTTGAAGCTCTGATTAATATAAACTCTCCATCACTTCTCTAACACTTTATCCTTCCAATCTTTACAGCAGAATCTCTGACCTCAAACCATAAAGTGAAGCAGCTTTAAATGGCCCTTCTCCATGATGAATTTGCTGATCACACCCGTCAGCACTTGACCCCTTCCTATTGTTCCCCCTCTTCTTTCCTACAGCACCTAACTATACTGAGCATGTGGAATGTATGACATACGACTTCTCTATGTCCAAGTTATCTCCTAGTAACCTTTCAGCTCCTGGAGTTTGATGCTCATGGTTTGCTCACTATATTGTATTATAGGCACCCAATACAAAATGAATGAATGAATGAATGAATGAATGAATCATCACTCAATCAATCAACAAATCAATCTGTTAACTTAAAAATATTCAAACTTGTTAAGAATTTTTTGTGAGTTTATTTGAGCCAAACTGTCAACAATCGCTGGGAAGCAGAATCTCAACATATTGGGATAATGCTCCGGAGATGGTGTTTTTCACCTTGTTTTATACATTACAATTAAAGGAGGAGACGTAAGTGGGTCACATGAAATCCATCGGTGATAGATCAGGGAGGCGGGAGAAAGCAAAGCGGGCATGGGGTGGGATGGGGGGGTGGTTGGAAAGGAACCTCTGGGATTGGATAAAAAGTGAAATGATAGACACATGCTTCTTTTACTTAGATGGGTCCAGGATAGTTAACAGTCAACAATTAACATGATAACAGTAACAATGAAGAAATTTATGGTCTCAGTCCTGGTGCACAGGCGCATTTGGTTGTGCCCTGAGAGGTCCGGAAAAAGGGAAGTTACAAGTGACCTTGACATTTCACAGGTATGTTATCTTAGATGCAAAAAGACAACAGGTGCAGTTAAAAGTTGACCTTTGTCAGGAAAGATATGGCTTAGGATATGACTACCCACTATAAACTGCTTTTAGTTAAAGTTTTGATTTCAGACCATCCTCTGTGGTTACTTAAGGTCTTTGAGTTTGCAAGACTGCCATGCAGGCCTTCCCTGAGCTTCTCAGGTTAGCAGGTGGCCCCTTTCTTCATTCACAAATTGATCAATCAATTTATTTTTTGCAGCTACTGAGAACAGACTAAGACTAATTGATACAAGTTACAAAGAGGATGTTTATAATACATCAAGTGAAAGAACAATCTAGAAAATCGAGTTATCCTACAACGGGACAGGCTGCATCTCAGAAACAAGAGTGCTCTGCTCCTGGGGCAGTCAGATAGAGGGGCCCCGCGTCTGTGTAGGCAGGAACCAGCATTTGGTGAGAAGTTGGATGAAACAACCACAGGAGTCCCTTCCGTCTTTCTATGATGTATGCACTGATTGGCTGCCACTGTAGTTGGACACGACTTCCTTTATTGCTTCCTTACTTGTAAAATAGAATCAATACAATTTTCCCCGAGGTGAAAATTATATAGGGACTTCCCAGATGTATGGTAACAACTGAGGGCATAGACTCTAGCGTCCACCTACATTAAAGGAGAGACTATAAACAGAATCATCTTGGGAGGAGTTTCCACCCCTGAAATTCACATCCTACTACCTCTGTCTTGACCAGAGCGTCAGCATAAAACTGAAAGGCCCCTTT